GCCGCGGACGCCCGCTTCTGGAAACTGCCGCCACCATCTCGTGACCGGAGCTGCCGCCCGGGCTGCCTCCCGCGCCCACTCGGCACCGCCCCGCCGCCGCAGCCGCAGCGCCGCCCCGCCGCCGCCCGCCCCGGGCTCCGCGTCGTCCTTGCCGCCAGCGCGGGCCGCGGGGGCGGGGAGGGGGGCGCAAGCGGTCGCGGCTACAATAGGCGAGTAAACGCGGCAGGTGTTAGAACCTGGGGACGCGGGCTGACGGTGCGCAGAGTAGCTTAAGCGTTGCTGTAGGCTGTGACGCGTGGCGAATAGTCGGGCGACTTAGTACGGCGAGTATCAGAACAAACAACCAGCGCACAGGACTCGAACGCTGCTTAGACGATCGCAGGTGCAGTGTCGTGTCAACTTAGAACCCTCACACAGGCCGTCGGCCAGAAAAAGTGCTCGAAGTTTATGAAAGACGTCGCATGTCAACAGGATGTGCCACTCTTTTGCGTCGAGGGCACAGCACGCGTAATAATACGTGGCGCAGAGGCGATCCGGGGGACAGAGTGGTGATAGGGACGTGGCATCTAGATGTGTGCCGCATGGCCACGCTCTCAGATGAAGGCTTGCGGAGAGTCGGAAGCGGTGTATGACTCTACACACTACGCCAAAAAGACAGCTCACCTGACGCATATATAAACAATCACATATTGATGTACTAGTTCAAACGACATATCGACTTCGTATTATTCAGCCCCATCTGCTTCTTAAATCCGTGTCATTGACCTGCTCTCTTTATGTGGGCGACGGGGGCGACGCATCACCCACCAGCACGTCGAAGCTGCGGTCCAGCGCGCCGGAACCCACCCTGCGCAGAAAGGCTCTTTTTGTGGGTCTAGTTGGGCACTCTTTGCAACACAGCACCCTATTCTGGCCAGTGGCGGATTCAAGGGCCACCCTCGAAAGGCTTTGAGAAAATATACAATATTATAAAAAAATATGTTTATTATTCAAAAAAGTCTATTACTCCCCCCCCCCTCCGATCCTGGCGTTGTCTATTCGTCCCAGTGGTCTTCAAGGTGAACTGAAGGGGACTGAACGACATCATTTACCCACTGATGTGAAACTGATATGTCTTTGATCTCTGTATCATTGTTCTTTGCTACAATTGGATAGAGCGTAGCTAACTAAAATAGTGTCCCATTTCTGTAAAAAACAAAAACAACAACAAGCGCTTCTTTAAGCAGTCAGCAGTGTAAGTGATGCGCTTAAACGATACATGTTATGTGATTATTTCTTTTAAAAATGATTCGTTTAATTAACACATGATAACGTTCGTTCAGGCATTCATTTCACAAGAAACGTAGCAAACAGCAATTCCATACAGTAGCAAACCTTAGTATTATTAGGATGATGAATGGTTTTTAGAGAATTGCCCACACCCTTGATATTCGTTTACATGGTACAAATCTCGACAAACGGATACTGTATTTATTATCAAAGGAAAGCGTATGGAGGCTTTGGATGTGAAAACCAGACAATTATAATAATTTTATCGCCATTTTTTAAAATACAGTTGAAAAGTTAGTTAATTAGGGGGGGAAAGGATCAAATAAATTTCAACTACACGAAATAACGATCACCATAATATAAAACTACTAATCAAAAATATTCAAAGTTGGATGGAGACTACTCTTAATGGACAATAATAAATATACACCCTTATAGTTGATAAAATGTATGTACTCGCCGGGGCGCTCTGGCAGCGGCGCAGCGAATTATCTGTCCTAACATAACCTAACAAATTTTTTATATTGCATTTTTCTCAAAGTTGGAATAAATTCAAATATTACACATGTCAATGAACAACTTGAAAATATATCTCTCACGCTCTTATCGTATCTCGTGAGGTAATTAATACCGTCCTCTCACAGGGAAAGTATCTGTCTTATATAATTAATAACTCTTTTCGTGAGATTGTGGGAATTCCGATGAGATATTGTCTTTATTAAAGGATGAAACAATATTCTGTCTATATTATATTCGGTTAAACTTTTTTAAATTTTATTGTGGTATTTCTTTAACGAATCTACAAATTTTTATTACTTGTATTTCGTACACCCCCTTTTGGTACTTATGTTAATTTCAACGAGTTTATTAGTTATATTATCTTGTTCATTACTTTTTAGGGTGGATTATGCATTTCATTTATATCATTTCTAGGCTGATAACAGCAAATCCATCGAAAGTCTGAATAAATGTAAATTGACAAAGATGACTTCAATTATTTCGTAACTGTTTTCACCCATGTTGAAAATCACGACTTTTGAGCTGTGTCGCTTTCATTTGGTACTTAGGTGCATCTGTGTCTACGGATTTTACACAGCGAATAAAATAAGAATGTGATTAACATTTGGGTGTTAAGGCGAGCGGCGCTGCCACATAAAGTGTGCTCTGCCACGTGCTCTCAACTCTAACTAGACAATCAAAGGACATGAATGTTGAGAAACTCTAACAAGTTTTATTCCTAATTAATCCTTACATTTGTTCTTAACATTTGTCATATTTGTTTGCTCGTAAAAGTTGTTCCCTAATTTTAGGTGGCAACAAAGCGCAAATACCGGAGCTTCTGATTCGTCGTTTCCTAGGTTACGGCTCTGGCGTCATCACGTGACCACGAAACGTCAATCCCATTCTAATTTTAATCGGACCTTAGCTTTCGGTGGGCGCCACCGCCATCCGCCGGCGCGCTGCCTACCTGCGCTGCCGCGGGGCGTCGGGGCGCGGCGGGCCGTCGAGGGCGGGCGCCGGGGGGCGTCGCGGCGCCGGGGGACGCTCCAGCAGCGCGTCGCAGCTGCGCTGCAGCTCCGCCCCGCCGCCTCCGCAGTCGCCGCCGCCGCGCAGCTCCGCCCGCCAGCACCTGCGAGCCACACGCAGCGTAAAGACTACACTCCGATTTAACCGTAGTGTCCGCTGCACACGCAAGCTTCCGCGGCTCGATTCCATGAATTCTTTGGCTATTTGGGAGACGACACGTTGTTGGCTGAGAGGCGCTGGCGTCCTCAGGGCAGGTTCCCCATTGCCTTGAGGAAGACTACGGCATGCCAGGCGAAACGTCGGCCTCTCAGCCAACGACGCGGCGTCTCCCGGATAGCCAAGAATTCATAGCGTCCGTTGGCAATCAGCTGTTGCAACGATGCCATCGGGAGCTTAAACATTACTACATTAGTAGTTTGGATGGCATCGTAACAGCTGATTAAACGTCAACAGACTATGAGTAAATCGAAGTATACGTCCACCCATGGTGGAAAGATATGGTCGATTTTTGGTCGTTCTGCGCAGCACCAGGTTGTGTCACGAACCACGTGACCACAGCACGGGCTATTCGTATGAAAAGTCAAGACGCTGGCCGCCATGTTGCACGGAGATCGGGAAGTGTTGAGAAACATTTTGAAAGCGTCATAAGTGACAATTTTCAACGATGACCAACCAAAACTAACACGATGAAGGTGTACAAGATGTAATATTTAAAAGAAATGCTTCCTATATCTGTTTCAATGACTTGTAATAAGGCGATAGTTTTAGTATCCGACTGCATTTAAAATTCCCGCTGATATTTGATGTAAACTGGTGATTGAAGCACATCCGCTGAAACTAAACGTCGTCTTGCACAGTATTTCCCCCAGCACGAACCCCCCCCCAGCTCCCCAGCTCTAAGCTCCCGACTGGTTTCTGGACATGTGTGGTTGTGTACTGCATGTAAGGTAAATGTGTGTATTTAAGGGGAGATGAGGTAACGATGAGGAAGGAAAGATCGCGTGCAGACATTGGCTCATTGAAGGTACTTCGGCATTCTCCTGGTAGTGATTGGAAAAATCACGAAAAATTACAGATCAGAGCAGTCGTGAGGTCTCTCCTCCAAACAGTGGTGACTAGTGAATGTAATGGTACAAAACATTTAATGGCATGAATGGTAAAATGATTGTACCATACTATATTATTAATTATTCCATACAAAGGAGATTGTGTATTATTATGGAAATGCAGCCTGATAGCTCGGTATTTGAATGTTTACAAGATACCGACAGCTTTATTACGCGTGTTCGTTGGTGAATCCAGCGTTGAAGTCTTCGCCTGCTCGAAGGTTGATGATGACGAATCGACGTCATTCATTTTACAGATTTTAATTACACGGTGCATTACCGTTGGCTGTGGGGAAAGCGAAACGTCTCAGGCCGGTTTTTGATGGCAACGGAGCCTATGAGAGTGGAGGCGTGGATGATAGGCGTCGACTCCCTGTATCAGACAAGTTCTACTCTGAGTTATGAACGTAATTAAAATAGTAACAGTACCTTGGTGAAGCGCTATTTGAAATACTACTAGGTACATCGTTACTATATTAACTAACCTGAAGTGAAATGATTGAATTTGGTCTCATGGATCGACAAGAAGTTGTTCAAAAACGATGGACGATTTCGAAATTATTATTTTATTATTTGATACTGTCGGCGTGTGACTAACGTGACTTGAGAACCGAGCTGTGTCGCCCAATTTGGACTCCACCGTTTTTATTCAAAAATATTATTTATGCGAAGAAATATTACGCTACTTCAAGGTGAGCTTTACAGACGATATTCTTACATAATATCTTCTCTACACATAAAAATAAGTAATCAATAATAATAAAGTAAATCAATAAAATAAGTAATCAATAATCATAAAAATAAGTAATTTTGGTTAAGAAGTTCGGCTACCGGCTATTTCTTCTAAAATCTTCAAGAAGAATGCCTTCGACATTCTGTATCTCGTTACGATTTGAGCATCGTTGAATTCATTCTGTTGAGTAATTGCTCATTCTGGACTCACGGTTTCTAAATATACAAAAGTTAAACATGAACTCCCCCATTATCACACACGCGATTGATACACTCTGACCTCACAACAGGAGTTCAAAGGGACGTCAAAAGACGTTGATGGTAGGGTGCCGGGCTATCAAACGTTGACGAATGTTTGACGATCATCAGGCTAAACGACTTTAGTTAAATGTAAATCTGGCATTTAACGCGCTGTCAGGTTTTGACATCCGTCTAAGCTACTAATCATGGTTGGTGAAATCGACTGCGAGAGTGTCGTTGAGAAACACAAGGTTTGACGAGCGAATCAAATGTTCATCAAATTCGAGTTAGTATCAATAACACTAGAACCACTAACGGCATCGCCCAATGCACAGACAGGCTTGCAACTACTTCTCTTACAAATGTGTGTTTCAGTGTTCGAATGCGGTATTTGTGTTTTTTCTGATGATTGCCTCAAGTAACCAGAATACTTGGTTAACCGTGTCTCTTAATATCGCAAGACTACTGAAATACTATACTACCTGGACCGTGACACAGACATTACACACATTTAATCACGCCCGTAATTCCAACCAAGTACTTCTTGGCTAGAACAGCGCAGCCATCACAACTTATTTTGTTGTTAAACGCGCGTCCTCTATACAGAGTGACTAAGAATAAATATGACCAATTTTTAGACTAGTAGGGGCTTGAAGATGATTCCTTTAGGTCAAATCTCTTTAACTGTGTCAGAAAGTTCTGCCAAAGAGAATTCACGATGCGTTGCCTAGCAATCCGGAGCACATATCACATGTGTTGCATTATTAAATGAGATTTCCTACTTCAGGTTCATTGGCGAAATGTGATCGTCATCGACTCCTTACGTACCCTAGACGTTTATAACATATTTTCATAGTTATCGGTATAGTGGTTTTAGTAGTCTCTAACATTCATTCAGAGGTGTCTCGTTCAGGTGAGTTAGAAGTCTGTTACACAGATTCTGATTCATCCTGTCTAATGGACTTACAAGTTTATAACATTTATTCTGCGTTATCTGAACCAGTGGGCTTCGAAGTTTAAGTAACATTTTTTGCTGACTCACCCTGTATAGTGATCTTAGACGACTGTACCATTAATTCTGAGGTACCTGTACAATCGACTTAGAAATATGTAACATTTATTCTGTATCATCCTGTCCAGTGACCTTACAAGTCTGTACCACTTATTGTGTCTTATCCTGTCCAGTGGCCTTAGACACCTGTACTATTTATTGTGTCTCATCCTGTTGAGTGGCCTTTGAAGTCTGTACCATTAATTCCGCCTCATCCTGTCCCGTGGACTTGGAAGTCCGTGGGACGATGCGTGTATGTGCGTGGGGGGGGGAGGAGGGACCTCACTCTCCTGGGGTCATACAGCAGCTTCGGCGGCGTATAACATTTATTTTGAGTTATCTGAACCAGTGGGCTTCGAAGTTTGTAACATTTTTTTCTAACTCACCCTGTGTAGTGATCTTAGACGACTGTACTGAGGCACCTGTACAATCGACTTAGAAATATGTAACATTTATTCTGTATCATTGTGCCCATAGGCCTTAAAAGTCTGTACCATTTATTGTGTCTCATCCTGTCCAGTGGACTTAGAAACCTGTCATATTTATTCTTACTCATCTTGTCCAGTGGGCTTCGAAATTTGTTACATTTATCCTGTCTCATCCTGTCCCGTGGCCTTGGAAGTCCGTGTGTGTGTGTGTGTGGGGGGGG